GCCATCGGCAGCCGAGCACCCAGCTTATGCCGCCAGTGGGATACTCGGAGAACGCCGCTCCTCTTTTCGATTTCACTGTTGAGTGAGTTGGCTAGCAAGGGCGGCAGCTGCGAGGGGCCCGCTCGCCGCAAGCCCTGCGTCCATAGCATCCTAGGGGAGTCCCGAGTCTCCCTCGGTTCCCCTCCCTCCCATGAAGGAATTTCCCAGCAGGAACGCGGCCGGCCTGGCACACGCGTTGGGTGAGGCCCGGCCGGGTGTCTCTGGGCTGCCTTCTTGGCTCCAACCTGGCCTCCCTTGCAGAGTCGTCATGAGGATGACGTGGGCCATGCATGCCTCCCTCCCTGACAAAGGCGATTATATTTAAACATAAATATACCTTGTGAATCCATTCTGCCTTGGCATCTGATCGTTCATTTGCAGTGAGCAAGCAAGTCTTGTAACGCCTGCTGATTATTATCAGAGTCGTTCTTGTGGCACAGGTGCCTTCAGAAATAATCCAGCTGCTGTTTTTGTCATGGCCTTCGGCTCCTCTGTGATTCTCAGTCATTATTTGACTGCTGGAACAGCCAGCCTTAGATCTGGGAGCAGATAGGAAGGCTTCAGGGACCCGGTGCTTGGAGGCGGGTGCTTGTTGTTATTAACTGCATTAATATGTGCGCCCACCCGTCCTCAAAGCGCACAAGGCCGTGTCTGTAGCCCCTCTCCTTTTTGTAATCGTGGTGGCCACTGGCCGGGCAGGGGGGCCGGCCCGGGGTCGTCCAGTAACTGTGCCTGCGTGGAGACGTCGTGCCAGCCGGCTCTCCCCAGTCCCCCCGCCGTGCCCTCCGCTCCGCTGGCAGGGCCCACCAAGGAGGGACTGACCCGGCCGTTCGTGTTTCACCTTCTCTTCTGCAGATCCACCACCGAAATCAGGAAGGAGAAATCACGGGATGCTGCCCGCTGCCGGCGCAGCAAAGAGACCGAGGTCTTCTACCAGCTGGCCCACACGCTGCCCTTTGCCCGGGGAGTCAGCGCCCACCTGGACAAGGCCTCCATCATGCGCCTGACCATCAGCTACCTGAGGATGCACAAGCTGCTGAACTCTGGTGCGGACCCCCACCTTCCCTTCCCTGTGCAGGGGACCAAAACGGTCCAGCCCGAGCCCAATCCTGCCCTCGAGGCACCTCCAGATTAACCTGTACTACCCTCCCCCTTCAGCCAAGTTCCAGCTGCAGGTGCCGGCCAGGTATAACTTTCCGCAGGGATCTAAAGCACGTTTAGTTCTGCTCCTCAGCCAACAAAAAGCTCGCAATGGATCAAGAAACAAACAATCCTCGGCTGCAGGCTTACGGCCTGAGAAGGATGCAGCACGCAAGGAAAAGCAGGTGGGGAGGGGAGAAGAATATGTTATTCCAGATGCACCGGGTGGGAAGACGTTGCAGTCCCTGGCTGCTGACCCTTGGCAGCCAGCTTGCCCCCAGCCAGCCAGGAGCTTTTCCTCCATTCCGCTCCCATTGGTAGACCCAGACTAAGAGCAGGGCATTGCTACAGGGCTGGGTTCAACGGACAGGTATTCACAGGCAGTGAGGGCCACTCATGTGCTGGCTCCAACTGAAGGATGTCTTTGAATTAAGGTTGTCCACCCCCTTCATTTAAAGTTCCAAAAGAAAGTTTCTAGGCCTCAGAGATGCAGTGCCAAAGCTTGGGACTGCAGCAGAGGGTTCCATGTACAAGACGTGTGTTGCGGGTACAGGATCCGGCCTTTTGGGGGTGTTCGCTTTTGGAACTGGGGGGGGGGCTGGAATGGCCAGTGGGCGCTGTGTCCCTGTGGCTCCTTGCTTTCGACTTGCTGGATCAGAGGAACAGCTTTGTTGCTTTAGTGGTTTAAATTCCTGTAACGTCAGGCTGGGAACGCTGCTTACCGTATTGAGGGAGGTAAACCTGCAAGCGTCCCGTTCATTTGTGGTTTGGCTGTCGGGATAAGTGGCGCTGGGCATCTTGGTTTTCATTTAAAGCCGGTTCCTGGGCCTCATGGCTGCAGCGAAGTGCCCGCCACGCACATGAGCAGGCGTTCTTAGAGCAGAGTAAGGATCAATGAAGGATTGTATGAGAATCGTTTCTCCGTATCTCCACCCCACACAAGGCTCCATCCTGGATGGCGATAGAGGCTTGGGATTCCACACAAACCAGTCCAGGGAGTTTGCCGGCTCTGGGACTGGAGCTGGCAGCTCTGCACCGTCACATTTGACCTTCCAGTTAATCCAGCGCCGCCCTGGAGTAACTCTTTGCTGCTTCCCCATACAACAGGAGAATGGAGAGATGAGGCAGAGGTGGAAGAGCAGGTGGATGCGTATTACCTGAAGGCCTTGGATGGCTTCCTCATGGTCCTGACCGAGGAAGGGGATATGATCTACCTCTCGGAGAACGTCAACAAGCACCTGGGTCTCAGTCAGGTGAGGCGTTGCTACCTGGCTGGGGCGGAGAAGCACCTGCGAGGCGAGTCTGGTGGGAAATGCACTGAGGGGAGGGAGCCGAGCTCGTGCACCTGGCAATTCCACAGAAGCTGGGAGCCCCAGTGCCCCAATTTTAAAATGGTCGGACAGCAGGGGGTAAGGAAGACCCCCCTCTTGCCAGACAAGATGAGAGGCGAGGCCTGGTGGTCCTGCTGGGGAGCCAGGGGTCTCCCAGGTGGCCGTGCCTTTCCCCTCCCTGACGGAGCATTCCCTGCTTTCCCGGCTGTTGGGAGTTTCCCCCTCCTTTCATTCTGGAAGGATGAGCTGCGCCTCCCCCAGGTTAGTTCCCGGCACTAAGCGCTCCCGCTACGCCAGGTGGTACCTGCGCTTTGGCCCCGCCCACTTTGCCTCTGACTCCACCTGGGCTTTCTTCAGCCTCACCCACCCCTGAATGGCATCCCAGGAGCTTCTCCAAAGAGGCTCAGCACCCCTTGCAGGACAGGCAGGGGTCTGGTCTGGGGCAGGATCGTGTCCGCTGGCTTTGGTGAGTGGGCCCAGTGCACTTCAGTGCTGCCTGGGGGGTGGGCAGGATGTGTCGAGGGACCCCTCCCTGTTGAATGGTTGCCTGTCAAGTCCTTGGGACGGGGGCTTGTCTGTTTCTCCTGGGAGGAGGAGGTGGGAACCGGGCTGCCTTCGGTCCCCTCTAATAACTGACAGGCGTTGGTTCTCTGCCCCAGGATAAATGTTCTTCCCAGCACCTGCGGGGGGGGGGGTCTTTTCCCCCTCTGAGGGCTGCTGAACCCACACAAGGGGTGAACAAGTCGCCCACCCGCCATCTGGCCCTCATGCACACTTGTGGTGCCAGAGGAGAAATCGGTGTGACGCCGATGGGGCCTGGAGCAGGGAGACAGCCAAGAAGCTGCAGGGCGGCTGCTCGGACACGGCACTCCAGAAGAGCAGCCAGCCCAGGCTTCCTTTCCAGCAGCGGCTTCCTTCCCAGGGAGCTGAGGACACCGGAGGAACAGAAGCTCACGCCGTGGCGCCTGAGGCTAATTCAGATGCAGGCTAAGCCAGAGTTTAGCGCTCCGAGGAGGGCTGAGCCGAGCGTGCTCACGCTTCTCCATTAGTAAGGCGAGGATGGAGTAAGACGCATCGGCTTCTGTTCTAGCTTAGCCCCAGCTTTGTGTCATGGAAACCTAACCAACCGTGTTGAATCTTGGCTATGGTTTGTTTGGAATAGGACAACTTCAAGCCATTGGTTAAGAAACTGGCTTGTTTCAACAAACCCTAGTGAATCTTAAGCACAGTTTAGGGTTTGCATGACACAGTAAACCGTGGCTAATCTGAATGCAGGCAAGAGGTTTCCGATCTCACAGCCGGGCCAGAGGAGGAGCTGGATAGGGAAGCGGAGGAGCGCAAGGCTGCCTGCAGCTCCTTCTTGCAGCGCTGAGGCATGGTCTGAATGTGGCTCCCAGGGCCGCCAGGGCCCCACATCGCAAGAGGGATCAGTGACTGGGACCGGCAAGGGTGACCTTTTGCAAGGGAATATTCTCAGCACAGCGGGTTCATATGCGCTTTGAAATTGTTTGTGTTTCTGTTCAGCCCAGAAACAATGGTCCTGCATTGTTGATATTTTTGCACATTGGAAATGTTTCCAAATTGGAAACAACTTCGCTCTTTCAGCCTTCCTGGATGGCGTCGGTGCTGGCATTTTTCTCAGGCCGTTTCAAAGAGTTTTGAACATTAAAAAAAGACACCCCCCCACGGCAAAGTGATTTCTGAATGGATCTTTTTGTTCTGCTGGTGAATTTAAAATATGACGATGCCTTTGATGACATTAATCCTGGTTATCATTTTGCATGAGGGGGTGACGATCTCCAGAGAATAACGCCAAGAGAGCAGTCCTGGAAGTTGCAATTTTCACTTCCAAAATGTGCCATTTTCTTGCAAAGTCGGATTGCAACAGAGGGATCCGTTTGCTCCCAGGCCGCCAGGCCGTCTGCTCCTTCAAGTCTCCTCTTTTAGCATCCAGAGCTGCAAACTGGTCTGCGCAACCAAGAGCCTTTATTCCCCGCGTTCTGCCTGGCCTCCTGCAGCGGCCTGACGACGGTGCCTGGTGTGCCGCCGCGGCCCGTGGTGTTGCACGTGGCTGCTCAGGCACCCGCTGCCCAGGGCAGCGAGGCAGGTCGAGGAAACGGCTCTCCCAGACTCCTCAATGAGCTCTGTGGGAGGATGGAGGGGACGGGCGCCTCGGATTGGCCGGCTCCTGGCAGAGTCTGCTCCTGGCATGTGTTCCAGCATGTGGCCTGGGGCTTATCGCCCGCGGCTCCAGCCCCCCCGCCCCTCCCCGCCCCTCCCCTCCCCGCTCCCCGGGGCTCCGATCCGATGCCCCCGCTGACCTGTCCAGCTTCCTCCCACCAGCTGGAGCTCATCGGCCACAGCATCTTCGACTTCATCCATCCCTGCGACCAGGAAGAGCTGCAGGATGTGCTGAGCCCCAGGCAGGGTGAGTCTCCAGCGGCGTCCTTCCCTCGCAGGCACGTGGGCGGCCTGCCCTCATGCGCGGCACCCCAGTGTTTGCCCTGAACGGGGCCCCGAGCGGCTGGCAAAGCGTGCTGGAGGCCCCACCCCCGCTAGCGGTGCAGAAGACGCGACACCAGTGCCAGCAAGGGAGGAGGAGAACATTCAGCTCTCGTGCCGTAACTTGAAGATTTTAGGCGTGCTTTTTCTCACGGGAAGGAGCAGAGGATGTTCCTTGTGGCTGGACATGCCCTGAGTGGCGGAATGATCTTTTCCTGGAAGTCAGGGGTGCAGCCCCCAAGCAGCCCTGTTTTCCAGCCAGCAGATGAGCCTCCAGTCCCAGGGAACTGTCACCTGGAACAATGCGTTCCTCCCAGCAGTGAGGGCGTGGTGGGCCCCCTCGGTGGCCCCCTCCCAGGCTGATGTGTGGGGCTTGATGGCCTCCCTCTTGCCGTGATGTTATGTTAGCATTTCTGGGTAGTGATTTTGGGCCAGCAGACTCGGCCTCTCGAGTGTGGATCCTGTGGAGCTGCCTGTGAGAGAGAGAGAGAGAGAGAGAGATGGGCTGTTAGACTTGGGGGATCCCAAGGTTTGCAGAAGCAGAAGAAGGATCGTGGGCAGGGAATGAAAAGGGCAAGTCCTCTCCAGAAGTGGCCAGTGAGGATTGGGCATGCTCCGGGGCCACCAAGGGAGGGAAATGGGAGGGGAAACAGGAATGGGATGGAGCCTCTGCGAAGAGGGCGTGGCTGGCCGGCGGTCTCCCCGCCTGCAGTCTTCCAGCGCCCCCCCCAAAAGGACTCCCTTGTCAGGTGTCTGCAGGGATTCCAGGGAAACGACCCGGGTTGCATTGCTCCAAACACTCAACGTGCGCGCCCTTCCCGTAAATGCCCAGCATCGGGACGAGCGCTTCCTTCCTTCACTGCATGCGAGACCAGAAGCTGCCTCTCCGCCCCTTGACCCCAGCACCAGACGCTGCTTGCTGCCCGGATCTGGGCTCTGGGCCCACCTCTTGGCGGACCTTTGGTGCCTGACCCTCCCCAGGTTTCTCGAAGAAGAAGGAGGTGAAGACGGAGCGCAGCTTCTCCCTGCGCATGAAGAGCACGCTCACCACCAGGGGGCGCACCGTCAACCTGAAGTCGGCCACCTGGAAAGTGAGTGATCGCAAGGTGGGCGTGGAACTGCACGGGGGGGGGGGCACGGGGGCTCCAGGGCGGGCGCTGCTCTGAGGACCAGGCTGCAGGGTGCGCGCCACTGGGGGAAGGATGCGTGTGAAAGTGTGGCTTGGAGATCCACGGGTGGAGAAGAGGCGAGCACTCGTAATTATGCGCACACAGGCAAAACATGTACAACCCGTGTATGATAGATCTGTGTGTGTGCGTGTGTGTCACTTCAATATATTTTCCAATAGCCAACACTCCCAGAGATTCACCACTGAAATCGTAAAATTGGATCGCAAGAACAGGGAGCCCGCCTGGTGGGGTGGTGAACAGCACGGGACTGGGGCCCGGGCGGGCGGTGCTCCGGTCCCCGCTCAGCCATGGAGCAGCCGGGCGACGGGTCAGTCGTGGCCTCTCTGCCCAGCCCACCTCCCAGGGTGGTTGTATCGGGGATAAGATTGAGAGCAGCAGCAGGAGAGCGGTGTGAGCCGCTCTGAGTTCTTTAAGAAAAAGAAGGCAGGGTAGAAATCCCACAAATAAGTACATCAAAACAGAGAGCGACTGTGGTGGAGTGGCTGAAGCAGCACCCCGGGGCTTGGCCAGGCTGGCTCGCTGGTGCCAGAGCGCATGCTGCTGCCAGTCACCGATTCTCAGCGTAAACAAGCCTTAAGTCAGGTTTTGCTGTGAGGTTAAAACAGGGTGGAGCAGGAGGGCCGTCTGCATTGCCTCTGGTCCTTGCGAGGGGGGAAAAGATGGTGTAAATGTCATACATGAATCGTAAAGCTGCTAAGGTAAATCCAAGGTAGAAACCGGCTGTAAAGGTTTAAAAATAGGAAGATGCAGAACGAAACTAAAAGCGTGCCCGAAAAAGAAGGCCGGCTGGAGCGAGCCTGTAGCATCGGCAGCTGGATGGGCTCCTCGGAGTGGCCACCTGAGGCCCGAAATGCTCCAGGAGGGGTTGCTACGGCAATGAGGCTGGCTCCGGCGGGGGGGCATCCCGGTTGCCGGGGGAGGGACGGCTCTAGAGCAGGGGCGCTGCCTGGCAGGGCCAGTCGCGGCCCTCCGGGGCCCCAGAAGCCACGCGCCTCACCTGTGGCTCCGCCGGCCCTCGCCTTCCACGCAGGTGCTGCACTGCTCCGGGCACATGCGGTCCTACGCGCCCGCCAGGCCCGCGGAGGGGAAGGAGGCGGAGAACGGCTTCGTGGAGCCCCCGCTGCGGTGCCTGGTGCTGATCTGCGAGGCCATCCCGCACCCGGCCAACATCGAGACGCCCCTAGACAGCGGCACCTTCCTCAGCCGGCACACCATGGACATGAAGTTCACCTACTGCGACGACAGGTGAGCAGGAGGTGGAGGCGGGCGTTTGCCAGGAGAGGCGCACCCCCCGGCCCCCGCTGTCCCCCTCGCTGCGGCCCCGAAAGACCCTGGATAGTCCCAAGGGAGAGGCCGCTCCAGGGCCCAGAGTCCTCTCCCACCTGCGGATTCTGAGTTTCCGCTGTGACTTTGCACCGAGCAGTCGCAGCCCTTTTCTGCCAGGTAGGTCTGGGTTGCCTCACTCATCCTGGAGGGAAGGGGGACACCCGCCCGACCGAAGGGCTCCAGGTGGCGAGGCAGGTAATTCCCCAGCCTCTCAGAGGGACGCATGAGGCTCCACTGCGCAGTTTGGGCCTCTCCTTCCTAGCACGCCTCGCTTCGAGCCCCTCTCAGGAGCAGAATTTGGGCACTGGCCTTCCTTTAGTCTGATGCCATTGGCCCTTGTGGGAGGAGGGAGGCAATGCAGACCACCTTCACGTCCCCCGTGATGCGCCCCCAACCCAAATTTGCACCCCCGGGACCTGCTCTGAGGCAAAGAAAAAGCATGCCTTGCCCCCTTCAGCCCTAGTGTTCTTCTAGTGTGGCAGGAGGCCGGGGTGGGCCAAGCAGGTCGCCCCCGGCCAGCCTCCTTCCCAGCGTGTCTCGCAGATGGCAGAGCCTGCGTCCCCGAGCCCCCAGAGCAGAGGAGGACCTATGGGGCCCGGAGATGCCCCCGGGATGAGGGGTGAGGGGTTGGTTGCACCTTTGTGTCCCTCTCTTCCCTCGCCCCATAGATTTGGGGGTCCTCGGGAGCTCCAGTTGAGAAGGGAGGGGTGACGGAGCGGAGGGCTCTGACACTGACGTGTGTTTTCTCTTGGCAAAAGACTTTGGGGGCCCAGAGCAAAACGGGAAGGCCTGTAGGTGAGGCTGCAGGTGGCGATGCGAGCAGGAGTCATGGCTTCCGTCCTGGGGTTCCATGTTGCTGCCTCTCTCTTTGCGTCTCCCTGAGCAGGATTGCCGAGGTGGCTGGCTACACACCCGCAGACTTGCTGGGCTGCTCCATCTATGAATACATCCATGCCCTGGACTCTGACTTCGTGAGCAAGAGCATCAACACCCGTAAGTCAGGCCTGTCCCGAGCCTTTCCTGTTCTTCCTTCCCCAAGTTTCGGGGGAGTGAGAGCTTGATTGCAAAACAACCATTCCTTGCGGGAAAGAGAGAGAGCGAGAGAACGTCTTGTTGCCAGAGTCCTGCATGCAATATCAAGTTCAACCCTGTCTTGGCTTTCATTGCTTTTAAACTACGTTTCTAGTCCTCATGGTGCCTAAGATAAATTTGAAGATATGTAGGCGCTATCTGGCAAAATGGCAGAAACTGGACAGTTTATTCCTTGTTCTTCCATTAGAGCCAGTAGATTAAATAGTGCAAAATTAATAGGCGTGGTAATTTACTTTGCATAATCCTGGATGGCATGGGATGCAGCTTGGTAAAGAATTTGAACTTAGGCGTACAAGAACATTCGTGGCCCTGAACAAAGGGTAGGTAAAAGGTCTCCTTTAGGTTCCAGCATTCCTGAAATACTACTTCCGAGTCCCATAATTGGACCAGTTTGTGGGAGTCCTGTTCCTCCTCTTGTGGGAAACCAGCTACCAAGGGGTTAAATAAAATATGCACTGAGGCTACAGGAAGGAAGTGACTGCCTTGCATTGCACTGGGCTGCTATTTCTAGGAATTAGAAACAAACTTGCTTCTTCGAATTGTTGCCACTCTCCACTTCTTTGTTATGTACTTTTTAAAAAAAGTTCCTAGTCCTTAATGTTTTAAGACAACATGGGGGGAATAGGAGCTTAGAAAACAGGAAAGTTGTTTCATTCCTTCCATAGGCGGCTCCCACTTCCCCTAACTGCCCCCCATAAATGTCACCTGTAAATCCCAGCCCTTCCATATTTCCACTGAATTTATCCTTAGAAGAATGAAGCCAGGACTCTTTGTAGTAACTCAACTCTTGGACGAGTCGAGATAAGTTTTACGACAACGTATAGCTGTTGGTGAGCCAACAGTCAACAGAGCTTAACGGAAAAATACTGCAGGCATATTGCTTAACTTGTAGATAAGGCAAGTTGGTGGTTCCGTGTTGTGTTGTGTTGTGTTTTAAATGTCAACCCCCTGTCCCCGTGAGATCTGGAAGGAAATAGAGAAGCTCAGTGCTTGTTAGGGGCTGATCTGGACTTGGAGAGTTCAATGTAACTGCCGTGCCTTCCCCGAAAGGATCCTGGGGACGGCAGCCCGGTGAGATGATGCTAAATCTCCAATCCAGTTCTGTCTATCAAAACACCTGGATTAAATAGACCATGGAGGCTTGTTTTAATCCCGGATGCATGTCGGCCAATGCCAGGAGCCATTCCCTGAGTGACCCCTGGTTGCAGCTTGTGTCATCAGAACCCAGGAAGAATGGCTTATTCGAGGGGGAAACAACCCCCACATAACCCGTGGCCTGCTGCAGGGTTATTCCAGCCACGGTGTCTTGTCTGAGCGTGTGAACCACAGACCCTTTTCACGGATGACAGCTCCCAAGCGTCACTCACAGGAAAGAGCGACTGTTCAGCCAGTGGAGCATGTGTGATGCGCCCGTGCATGTGCGGTTTTCCAGGATGGTTCTAGGCCAGCCTTCCCCACACCTGTGCCTGCGAAATGTCTTGGACTGCAACGCCCATGTGGACACAGGCCTGCTTGCTGGGGACGATAGGTTTTGTGGCGCAAAACTTCTGGATGGCTTCCAGTTGGGTGGCAGGCACGACGGCTGGGAACGTCTGTGTCAGGAAGGGGAGAGGCTCGATCCCCCCCCCCCCCGGGGCTTTCCCAGTTTTGGCAGGCCTTCAGAGAGAGAGAGGGGGGCAGAGGGAGGGAGAGCGAGCGCACATCCTGTCCCAGTTTGCGGTCTCCCCATCTCCCAGCTCATCCGTTTGTCTGTCTGTTCTAGACTGTCTGTGTTTCACTTCCATTGGTAGTGCTCAGCAAAGGCCAGGCTGTGACTGGGCAGTACCGCTTCCTGGCGAGGAACGGCGGCTACCTGTGGACCCAGACTCAAGCCACCGTCATCTCCAGCAGCAAGAACTCCCAGCCCGTGAGCATCGTCTGCGTCCACGTCATCCTGAGGTCAGACCCGGGGAGGGGGCGGTGTGGCTGCCGGGCTGGCGACCCCGAGGAGGCGCCGAGCAGCCTGGGCCGGAAACGGGGCGGAGAGCGAGGGGGACGGAGCCGGTGCTCTGGCTTGGCAGGGTCGGGAACCCCGGGCCGAGCCAGACGGTCCATTCCCCGTGCTTTTAATAGGCAGGTGCATGCCATGGCTCGTCTGGCATGAGCACAGCCTGTTACAGCCATCCTACAGCCCGCCACCCCAGGGCTGGCTGGGGATGATGGGAGCTGCATTCCCGCACACCTGGAGGGGAGCAGCTTGCGGAAGGTGGTGAAGAAGGGTTATTCATAGCGACTGCTGTGGGTGGGATCTCTCCCCTCTCTCAAATATGAAGGGACTTGGGGTCACCCTGGACATATTAAGCAGGCAGCAAGTTCCAGGCAGGAAAATGAAGCTTCTTCTTTATACAGGCGATCATTCAGCTTATGCGGCTCACGGCCGCAAGATGCAGTGCTGGCCAGTCGCAGAGCTGGCTTTAAAATGAGGCTTTGGGAAATGTAATACTTTGGCCTGTTGAGGGTGCCTCCCTGAGCCACCTAATAGAACCCCCTTGTCCTGGGGCAGCCTACCTCTGAATAGCAGGCGCTGGAACAGCGACATTCTGTTGCTCTGACTCTGCTTCGGCTCTGCAGAGCCATCAGGTTGGCTTCTGTCTGAAGCAGAGCACCATGCCAGACGAGACCCAGGTTGGGCCGTGGGTCCATCTAGCTCTGTGGGGTTTTCGGTGGGAGGTTTTCCTGCCCCACCTGGAGGTGCTGGCATTGAACCAAGGACCCTCCAGCGCCAAGACAGAGGCCCAAACCTGGAGCTGTGTCCTCATGTTCAGGGCAGCATTGCTACTTTCCCAAGGGGGCAGGACGGAGACCCTCTTCATGTTGCTTGGGGATGCCGAGTTGGCTTGGAATCGGGGTAGCGGGCTGCGACCGGGTGGGGAGAGGCCGCGTGGCGGGGAAAACGGCAGTCCCCACTCCTGTCTGCTGGGAGAAGGGAAGGCAGAGCGGGTGCCCTGCTCCCGAAGCCGTTTTGGGGTGTGTCAAGAAACCGGCCGTGCCGTTTTCATCCCCACCGGGGCAGGCCTCTCCCAAAGCAGAGCGGTCCTCACAGTCGGCGCAGGGCCAGGCCACTCCATGCTTTGCAGCACAGAACGGGGCCGTGTTCCCGGGAGAAGCGCATTCCCGCTGAGCGGCTGTGTGCGTGGCGGCTGAGCTCAGAGGGCCCAGGGAAAGCCGGGGGGGGAGCAGGGGAGACCCTGCGGCGCCCCACTGAACCCCCCTTCGCCGTGACGCCTCTCCGCAGCCAGGTGGAGGAGATGGGGCTGGTGCTGTCCTTGGAGCAGACGGATCGGCAAGGGGAGCACCGCCGGCTGCCCCCTCCCTGCCTCGACGGGGCCGACCCCGACGGCGCCCTCGATGAGCTGGATCCCAGCGGGGGAGACACGATCATCAACCTCAGCTTTGGTACAGAAGGGCAGCGGGGCAACCTGGGGAGGGGAACTGGGCCACCTGCGGGGAGAAGGGAAGGGGGCTTCAGCTCCTGAGACCGTGCTCCGCCCTCTCTTCCCAGAGCTGCGTGGCCCCAAGATCCTGGCCTTCCTGCGCCCCGCCAACATCAGCGAGGAGGAGCTGCAGCTGGACCCCAAGCGCTTCTGCAGCCCCGACCTCCAGAAACTTCTGGGCCCCATCTTCGACTCTCCCGGGGCCCAGGCCCCCTCGGGAGGGCCTGTGCCGGCGAGGCCTTTGCCCCCCCCCTCCAAGCCCCCCCTTCTTGCCAAGAAGCCTTCTGGAAGGAGCAGCCCCGTAAGGAACGGGCAGAATGGCTGGGGGGGGGGGCTGGAATGGGGGCTGCTGCAACACATGGGGCTGAATGGGGTGTGCAGCAGGTCGGCCTGGGGGGGATCGTGTGGGGGGGGTTGCCCCACTGCAGGTGTGTCAGGGAGGTTGTCCCGCCTCTGATAGGCTGGGAAAAGAAGGGGGGGCTGGAGAGGGGGGTACAGGCACGGCGTCCAGTGTTGCACTGAGCTGTCAGCTGCTCTCGTGGGGCCTTTTCAGCTGGACAGCGCAGAAAATACCCTTTAAATGAATAAATAGGGTGGATCCCTGGGCAGAGGCCATGAGGCAGGAGGGTGGGGCCTTGTGGGTAAGTCACTCTGTTTCACACCTGATGCTGAGTTCCCCTCTAAGAAATGGCCTTTCCTGAGGATCTCAGCGGCAAGCAAAGGAGGGGGGTCCAAGGGCTGGGTTCTGTCCTGCTGTGGCTGAAGGGGACGTAAGAGAGGATCGTGGCCACCCGTCTTCTCCTCCTCTCCCCCCCCCCCAGGTCCTCCGTCCTCAGGCCGACCTGCCGGAAGAGCTGCTCCTTGACATGGAGAATGTGCAGAAGCTGTTTGCCTCCAGCAAGGAGCCGCATTCCATGGAAACGGTGCTGCAGGTACGAACGGCCGGGGGCCGAAGAGGGGCTCGCGGTGGACGGGGCTCGCAGCGTGGGACCAGAGCCCTCGCCCTCTGTGTACGTTCTGGATTCAGCCAGCAGCTTTCCCCACCTTTTACTAAAAATCGGTTCCTAGTCCCGTTTCTTCAAATTTCACAAGCCAGAGCGGGAGGCTAAGCGTAAAAGCACCACCCCGAGCTCAGCAGATGGTGCTTCGGGCCACGCCAACGACTGTGCGTCTTCGTGCGTCGATGCAAAAAGGACCTCCTTCCCGAATGCATGGCTCAAAATTCGCTGCATCAGGGATAGCTGATATGTGGCCGTCCAGTTGTCGGACTGCAGTTCCCATGAACCCTCAGCGTTAAATCTGCTGGCTGGGGCACGTGGGAGCTGCAGTTCCTGCTTCGGCTCTGGACGCAGCCAAGGTAGGTGGCCCTCAGCCACCCCACTTGATGTCACTGGGGCTGAAGGGTGTGAGGCCGAGTCGCCAGAGCTGGCCTGGCCTGCGGCGCCTCCCCGGAGGAGCAGTCGGGCGAAAGCCTCGGCCTCTGCTTTCGACTAACCACCCCTTCCTGTTCCGTATCGGCTAGGAGCACTGACCCGCTCCTCGCGCGTGCTCGTGGGAACGAAGCAGCACCGCTGTGTCCTCGCTCCCCGGCATCAGCGTGAAACGCTGGGCCACCCGTAATGGGAGGGCGCCCGCCTTCCTCCTCTTGCCCACGAGGAAGCGAGGGGGGTCCGCTGGCCCCTGGGGAGGGCCCCGGCTCAGCGGTGCGGCCCCTGCTTTGCACGCGGGAGGCCCCGGTTCTGGCCGCAGCGCCTCCAGGGGCACCTGCCTGCGGGAGACTCTGCAGAGCCGCAGCTGCCAGTCAGGCGGGATTGGTGGCCGTTGTCGTCGCTAATTCCATTTCTATACTGTCTGCAGCCAAAGCTCTCTGGGCAGTTTGCAGAAATGGCCGATACCAGTGGCTCGGTATGTGCTTTAAACCTGGTGCGGGTAAAACTCTAAACAGCTCCTTTCTGGAGCTGAGGACTCTGTGTGGTGCTGAGGCAACAACTGGGAACCAAGTGCATGTTTTCCCATCCTTCTGCCATCAAGCCTGCCAGTCCAGCAGCGGCCTGGGGAGTCCCCCAAGGGGCTTTTGGCCCCGGCCCCTTCCAGCCTGGAGCAGGCTCCAAAGATGCCCCGAGTGAGCGAGATCTACTCAAGAAATGCCTTTTCCATCCCAAAGTAGGGGTGACCAAACCTGACCGTTTTGCTTCTTTGCATCTCCAATTCCTTATCTTCCTGCTAGGAACAACTAGGCAAATTTTGGTACCCCCCCTCCTCCCCAAAAGAGCTGGAGTGAAATTCCCACCCATCTCAGCCAAGTTCTGTCGGTCCAGCTATTCCCACCGTGAAAACCTGCCGTGTAGGTGTTCGACACGAGGGGCTGCCAGGAGAAAAGGGGCGACCCTAAGGCAGTACGACTGCGGCCGAATCCACGGGGATCCGAGCCACGATTTCAGGGAGGACGGCTGCAGGGCACCCGGTGGCTCTTCTCCAGATCTGCTTGGTCCGAGCATCTTCTCCGTTGGCCCCGAGTGCGGCTTGCTCTGTGCATTTTAGTGAAGTCACCAAGCCGGAGCCCCAAAGCTCCCTGGCGCCCCCTGCTGCTCGCTGCCCCTCGTGACGACCCTTTGCTGCCCCCTGCAGGATTACGAAGGCCTGGACCTGGAGATGCTGGCTCCCTACATCTCCATGGACGACGATTTCCAGCTCAGCAGCACGGACCACCCCCCGTGGCTGGCCGAGAAACGCGGGGAGCCGGCGGCGGGGGCCTGGCCCGCCTCGCAGCCCCCGCGGCCTCGGTCCAGGAGCTTCCACGGGGTGTCCCCCCGCCCGCCCGAGCCGGCCCACCTCCCCCGCTGGGGCAGCGACACCAGCCTGAGCCCGGCCCGCCCAGCCCACCCCGGGGAAGGCATGCCCCGCGAGGCAGGGCAGATGGTGGAGATGGTGGCCTCCGTCAAGATCCAGTCGGTGCAGGAAGGGGCCGGCCCCACCGGCCAGGGGGCCCCTGGGGGCGGCCGGAAGAGGTAAGCGGCCTGCCCGTCTGGGCGGAGGGTTCTGGCCAGTGCGAATGGGCGTTTTTTGTACTGAGAAGTCCTGCAACCCCAGCCCGCCTCAGCCAGCTGCTCGTGTAGCTGTTTTTCCTGTCTAGGAGGCATAGAATTGCGCCTTGAGCACTTCTCTTGGCTTTTAGTCTTCCTGTGATGCTTTTATGACATTGCTGCCTTGACGTGGATTCAAGATTTTACTTGTGCGCTTACTGTAGAGGACCTCTTAGCTGCAGGGCATCACCCGAACGAAATAAACACACCAACGCCTCCTTATACAGCTCCTTCTGGTTCTCCACCCAGCTGCCTTGGTTTGGGGCAGCCTAATTTAGGAAGGGAAAGCTGGCCCTCGTTTCCGCTATTGTAAGCCTGTGGCAAGTCCGAAATCCTGGCTTATCAGCCCTGGTCCATTTTATTTCGGATTCAGTGAAAAGGGGAGCAGGTGCCGAAGCACCCAACTCCCGACGCAAGGGAGCACTCGGGCCGCAGCCCCTCCCTCTGCCCACCACACCTGCCTCCTCGCATCTCCTTGCCCCCCGTCCGGTTCAAAGTCCCCATTGCTACCTCACCTTCTCAGGGCGGGGGACCAGCCGCTGAGCTTATTATTTTATTTATTTATTTAGAGTTTTTGTATGCCATCCCATCGCTTATAGCCTCAGAACGGCTCACATAAAATAAATACATTTATTTATTCCCTGACATTCTCTGAAGAGTCGGCCAAAAAGTGGCCGGCACATCGGCAGCTGGGCAAGACCATACGCCCGGCTTCAAGCGGGTCCGTCGGAGAGGCCGGCGTGGCGAGGGAAGGGGCGTCTCTGGGTCTTGCTTGCACCGTTGGCTCAAGAGCTTGGATGCTTCCTCCTCGCCTGCTCCACTCGGCTCTCTCTGCTCGTTAACAATCAAAGCAAGTTCTTCTGGTCGGCAGCGATGCCTGCAGTCCAGAGTCTTTCCATGCATCGCTCCGACCCCACTTTTTCAAACGTACGGTGACGGCAGCGACCTTCTCTCCGCGCCCGCAGCATCACCCGGCTGGCCACCTCGGCCGGTCTGTTTGGCCCGGCTGCTCACGCGCCTCCCCACCGTTCCTCCAACAGAGCCCGGGAGCTGAGTGTGGACGATGAGAGAGAGACCCTGCTGGACGTGGGGCCCCCCAAGCGAGCCCATGGCCACGAGCCGGAAGGCTTTCTGATGCCGTCCCTTAGCCTGGTAGGTGCCAGAAAGCACACCCGGGTGGGGGTGGGAAGGGGGCATCCTGCATGCCGTGGCCCCGGATGCCACCGGCGCGCCGACCGGCCTGTCCCGGGGAGGTTCCTGCGCTAGGAGAGCCTTCCTCTCGCACCAGGGCTTCCTGCTGAGCGTGGAAGAGTGCTTGGACGGCCGGTCCGAGCGGGGCTTTGGCGGCACGGTGGCGCTGGGAAGAAAGCTGCTGTCTCTGGAGGAGCCGATGGGTGAGTGCAGCGGCTCTGAGCCCTTGGGCTAGGCTGTTGCTGGGGGGGCGCCAGCCGCAGCTTCCCTGCCGCTTGGGGTCTTCTAAGCACCCGGGGGGCGGGCTCATGGAGGGTCCCGAGCTGGCCCGGCCGGTGTCAGCCTTGGGCGGAGAGAGCCAAGTCAGCTGCAGCGCCTCACGGCTCCCTCCTGTCTCTTGCCCCCCGCCCCCCCCCCCGCATCCAGGCCTGCTGGGGGACATGCTGCCGTTCGTGGTGGACGGGCCGGCGCTCTCTCAGCTGGCCCTGTACGACGGCGAGGACGAGGCCTCTGCGCGCGGCGGGGAGCACTTCCAGCTGGGCGAGGAGCTCCTGGTGGAGCTGGACCAGGCCACCTGAGCGGAGCCCCCTGCCCGCCCGCCCGTCCCCGGCTCCATCATCCCTCACCCTGCTCCGCGGATGGGATGGATGGAACCCAGCGCCTCCCAGTTCATCCAGGAGAGGCCGAGCAGGAGGGGCTCCTCTCTCTCCCCTCCTCCTCCTCCTCCCCCCCACACCCTCCTTGCCCGCACCCCCAAGCTCCGCTGGCGCCCTCAGAACTCTTCCTACCTCGCCCGGTCGCCCCCACCGGGCAGCCCCCGAGGCCTCCCTGAGCACAGGAGCTGGTATGGATAGGAATGTGCCGCCCCCTCCCCGATTAGGTGCTGTGCGTCCCCCCGGCGCCGCCAAGAGGGGCAGCCGGAGCCGCAGGAACTTGGGTGGCGTCACACCTGGCAGCCCAGCCCTCGCAGGAAAGTTGGCTCAGCCCCGTCCCCAAAGGCCCACAGCGTAACCCCGAAGGATGCCCGTCCCAGGGGTGGGCAGGGCTGGCCCGGGGGGGGGCCCTGCATCCCACGGGGCCCCTTCTGAAGCCCTCGGCTCTCGCTGCCAGCCTGGGACGGCTCGCCTGCACACCAACACTGGGCCACCCTCCCCATCTTTCCAGCTTCCGGCCCGGGTCCCCCATGCCTGACATGACCGAGGACTGCCCTCTTGGGAGGTGAAAAGCAGGGGGTCTCGGCCGAGAAGGCCTGGGAGTGGGGGGTTGACACCTGTCCTTGACTTCCTGGAATCCTTCAGGTGTCCCAGTGGACGCAGCGCCCAAGCAAATACCTCAGCGACGCTCCTGCCCTTCAGAGAAGGGATAGCCACACCTCGGGTACCTGAGGGGGACCTGCTTTGGTTGGGGAAGGATTTCAGTCCCTACTCTGTCGTCCAAATTGTATTTTTCTCAAGTGGCCAACAGCCAAATCGTTGAAGTTATTTGCCACAGAAAGAGGAAGGCAATCGGAGCGCTCTGGCCGTATTTTTGGCCCAGTGTGAGGTCTCTTTGCAACTACGCTGGCTAAAGAGCTCTGAATGCGTCTGAGGGCCGAGGCCGCACGTTTTTAAATGTAGAGAAACTGAATGTATTGTAGAGATAAGGGAAGCCGAAATATTTTTTTAAACCTATTTTTAAAATAGCATCGTAGATCTTGTTCCTCGTCGGTTGGACAGTGTTTCCAACCATCCCCACTTTTTTAACTTAGTTGGGGTTCGGGGGGAGGTTGTTTATTTTTTGGTTCCTTGGACCCTCCAAACTGAGAGTTGTGCTAAAATAGCATAACACAAGTTTTGGCTTCTCACTTGGAAGGAACTAAAAAATGAGTTTTCTAACCTCATGGTAACCCCAAGTAGCTGGACAATGCACAGTGATTTTAAAATCCTAAACGAAGAGGCAAATTGCTTAGGGCCCAAATGTTATTTTTACAATCTGAAGCTTCTAAAGACAATCTTAAAAGCAGATTTTCTGCATTTGAGGGAAAGGCTGTCCTCTTTTTGAAAACTTCGAGGTGAGCAACCGAGCACCATCATTGGTTGTCAAGCAAACCTCCGTGACAGTTAAAGTGAATTAGACCCTGAACATCGGCCGCTAGGAAGTAAAATTTTTGCCAATATTTTCATCCAATTTTTCTACTTAAACTGGAGGAAATGAAATGTCAAAGAGATCTTCTTCTTCCTTCTGTTTGTACCCTGAGCCCAACTTTGCTTACTTAAAAGTAAGTTTCATAAAAAGCAATGGGTCTCCGAAGTACCTGTGCACAGGATTGAGGTCTTTGCCCTTTGCCCTTGCTTCACAGCCTGATCCTATGCATGTTTACTCAGAAGTAAGTCTCATCTTTAGAGGGTCGGCTTTACTTCCAGGCCAACATGCCTCGGGTGGCACCCTTCGCTGCATCATAGAGTGGCACGGAAAGGTAACTCGTTCTTAGCTTCTATGAAGAAAGCCCATTGCTTGCTGTGACTAAAAGCTCTTACTCGTAAATACATGTCGCGCTTAAAAATGAGCTACCTTTCTCTGCTGCCCATAGAGGAAGAGTTCTGTGTAACTCAAAACCTTGCATACTCCTGCACTAGCAAACGTTGGTGAAAGATTAAATTGCCTTACCTCTTTTATGTCTTTTTGACATAAAAGGACCACAGTAGTATTAGTTGATGTTCATGGCCGGGTTGCCCAGAATTTCATGAGGAAAGGAACTTGTCTGCTTTTGATGGTCTTGCAGGAAAGAGAATGCAGGCAAGCGCGGTTTTCCTGCCCTAGCGTTGGAACGGCAGGCACAGCGCCGTGGGCCGTGATTCTCCAACAACGGCTCAAACGGTAGGATGCTTTCCCTATGCAAACAGGGCAACCCGAGCTATCAGCCCATTCGGTGGAAAAAAATTCCCCTGTAGTCTCTGTTCCAAACAGAGGAGAAGTCTGCTTGTTCTTGCTTTCAGAGGAAAACACATGTCTCAGTTGCTTAGCCCGTGGTATCCTTACTTTAGCCACAAACCCGTTGCAGGTTTGGTGAGTTCAAGGTGGGATTCCGCACCCAGTCCAGCACCAGGCTTAAGTCCACGCCACTCGCCGCTCGCCCTCGCTCCCGACACCCTCCCTCGCCCAGGGGCCCCGGATGAGAACAAGGAGTGCAGGAACCAGGGTAAACCAAGCCAGTGCTTTCACCCTTCCCCTTGGTGTGTGTGTGTGTAGGTGTGTATGTGGGGAGGATCTCCAGGCGGGTCACCGCAGCCTGAGCAAACCCGGTTCTCCCCCGGGGTGACAACAGGAGAGAAGCGCCTCTCCGAGTTTTCCTTTCGCTCCGTGGTGCTTTGCCTCTTCTCCCAGGTCTTGTGTCAGCCCGGGGGTCCGTGCAGGCGTGCGCATGGCCCCCGCAGGAAAAGGCCGCGCTCGCGCAGCACGGGGAGAGTGTCCAGGCAGGAGTTCGGATCCTGGGGAAGATCCGCTTTCCAAAAGGTAGCTCAAACACAGAACTTGACAGGGGTGGGACGCGGCCCCTGCTTCCAGCCGGCCAGGGGTGCCTGTCTCGTTCCAACGCCGCCAGGCCGGCGTCCCGCCTCACCCAGCCAGGTCCAGAGGCTGGGAAAGAGGAAGCTCTGTTCCATTTGCCTTTCCTGGCACGCCACATTGAGAATTGCAGTCTTGAAAGGGACAGACACCCCCCGACACCACTTCTGCCTCGGTCACCATTCACCTGTGCCTTCACCTTGACAACGTCACCAGCACCCCACGCTTGAGAAGGGAACCATTTGTCAACCCAGCCCCTCCAGCCTCTTCCGGGTTGGTGCAAGTGACCTTCCGTGGCACGGGGGAATGGGGGGAAGCAGGCTGCAGAATCTTCCGGCCCCCCGTTTTCCCCGTTTGCAGCAAGCGGGGGGAAAGGGGGCGTCTGGCCACGCCGTATACTCCCTCCCCGTTCCTAGTGCGGACTCTCGCCCCCTGCCCCGGCCCTTAACTTCCAGGCTGCTCGGTCTGAAAAGCAAGGAAGTCGGGAAGGGAATAATCGGGGTGGAAAGAGGGGGGAGCCCCGTGTCGGGCATCGAGGTCTCTACACACAGACTGTTCGGTCTCACAACCAACCACGCAGACACAAGGACACAAACGCACCAACACAGACACAAAGCACGCGCTATCTCACAACGACGGGCCGCCCGGCGGCTCAGGCAGCTCTCTTTCAAAAGCCGCACTTGACAACACGCACAGAACAATAGAAACTCCAAGCCAGGTGAAGAACACGGATGTTACGTCCCTCTCTCTGTCTCTCTTTTGTTTAATTATTATTAATAATTATTATAATTGTTGTTTTTATTCCCAGCCACAGGGGGGTGTCTTGATTACCCTTCCCCTGCCAACCCGCTGTCGATTTTTGTTTCTCTCCCCCAGGCATGGTTTCATTTCACTTCTTTTCCAGAGACTGTGGTGGAATGATCACGATTCCCTTTCGTTACTGTCGATGTTGCTGTTCGTTGTTATTGTAGGACTGTAGCTTTTGATTTCGGGCCTGCCCCAAAGCCTGACACTGCGACCGCTGCCGCTGCCCCCTCTGAATTTTAATCAGTCCTGTTCCTTCTTGAAAAGGGCCGGGGGGCTGTGTCTCCTCCCCTCCCCTTCGACGGGGCAGCCTCTCTCTCTCTCCTGCTCAGTGGCATCCGTGGTCATGGCTGCATGTCCCGCCACGCCTGCCCCCGGGGACGTGTCATGCAACTTTAGCATGGGGTGCTAAACTACACACAAGCTGTGCGGTTCTGTCCCCGGGGGCAGCTTTTCGGCCACCCTGTGGCCATGGTGCTCTTGCCCCGCCCCGCCCCCTTGCACCTGCGATGTTTGCACACCTGTGTAGGGACGTGGCTGGCACCGCCCCCCCCGACCCCCTAATGGTGGTTGGTCGCCCACACCAGGCGCCACGGTGCTTCTCTCCACCTCTGTCTCGCACACACGCAAAGCCAGGGCGGCTGCCAGTCCACGCGGGAGCGACACCCCCGTCTTCCGAGTGGCGCCTTGGGGTCTGCCGGAAAGGCAGGAGATGGGCAGAGGCCCCTGCGGCCCCCGCCCGGCGTGACGGTGGCGTCGGCAGGGAGAGTCGCAGGTGCCCCTCCGGGGTCCGGGTGTGGGGGTTCTGCGGGAGCCCGCCACGTGCCTGTCGAGAGGCAGAGGAGGCCTGCAAATGGGCCGGGAAGGGGCCGCCCCCGGCCTCCAGGGGCCCACGGCTCCCTCTGGCCACGGCGGCCTCCTTCCCTCCTCTGGCCGGGTGGCTCGGCTGGCACGCGAGCTGCTTCCGTGGCAAACCCCGCTCTCCGGCACCACCGTGCTCGAAGGAACCCGCGGTGCGAACATCGCAGTGCAAAAGGGCGCCCTGTGGAGACGCCCCCCCCCCGGCCACGCTTGCACACGCACAGCGGCCCCTCCCCACGCACGTCTGTCATGCCAGCAAGCACGCACGGGCACATCCGGCTTGCAAACGGCCCCCGAGGCTTCTCGGCGACCACCACAGAGTCCTTCATCCGATCGGGAGCAGCGGGTGACCATCCCCACCGGACGACCGCCCAGGCCGTGGTCTGCCCCGTGGTGCGCTCTGCTCGCGTGGCGCCGAGGCCCGGGGGCCTGCCAAGACCACGTGCGGCCTGGAGCGCGCCTCGTGCGTGGGCCTGGAGTCCCTTGCCAGTGGGAGGGGGACTTCTGAAGGAAAAAACTGAATGCCACTAGAGCGATTGAGACGTTGGCCTTACAGATTCGAAAGGAGGCCCTCCCATCCCCAAAATCCCTCCAGGCTGTTTCCAAGCCAGGGCCCCCCAGCGCTTTGCACTTACTCTGCAATTAAGGGGACGTGTGGGTCCGCCAGAAAACTGTTCTCTGGGGCTGCTGCTTTGCCGCAGTTCTTCCTGAGGTCCCACACCAAGTCCATCGGGTACACAAGCGGGGCTTCCTTGCATCACTGGGGACGGCAGAAATGAACTACAGACAGCTTGGGCCAGTTTGTAGGTAAACCACGGTGCCGAACGGAATGGCAGTGCCCAGACATTCAGGAAGTCCTGTAGACTTGAACAGATGGGTGCCAAGAAGCGGGATTCAGAAGCCCTGCCAGTCTGCCTTCCCGTCTTGTGTCCTTCCCAGGATCTCCCGCTGTGAAGGCCAGAGAACCTGGGAATTGCAGCCCCAAGATATCAAAAGGCAGCCGAGCTGGGGAAGGCTGGAATAATTGGTGATGCCAGCAACAGTCAGTTCGGAGTGACCACTAGTAAGATTCCCTGGTGCAAATGGGGAACAGCCTCCCCTTCCGATCTGAGAGGGTTGCCTCGATTTAGGAGTAATTCCATGAGGCTGCAAGGCTTCCAGGGTGCGTGGAGGTGGGCGCAAGGCGCTGGGCGACGGCGCCCGAGTGTCCCAGCGGAGGGTGCTGTAGTTCCAACATGTCTTCCACCTGCCCATTCTCCGACCTTCCGACGGTAAGTAGGACTCCATTTGAGAAAGCCACCTGGGCATTTAGACCATGACAGCCTTGGGATGGGAGATGCTCCGAGAGCCCCCCAGCCGGTTGCTCTCGGACAGACCTCTCTTGCCTGGGACGTGGCAGATTGGGCATCCTTTGGCTGTGACATCCAGTCAATCCACACCGTCTTCAACAGGCCATCCAAAGAGCGCTTTGCTTGGTGCTTGCTGGCAATGACGAGGGGTGTGGGAAGGGCTCCTTCAGAGGGGAGCGGGTGGTTCGCAACTCCAGTGTCATTCAAGGCTTTAGGGATCTGTTTATATATGATTTTATATATATTGTTTCCTCTACCCTTGTGTATGGTTAATTTTCTCCTCTCTGTGGCGGGATCAGATTTGGCCCCTGCCGCGTCTTTATCTATCGCTCTTGTGAAACATAAATTACGTCTGGTAACACGCATCGGCTCTCCGTGTCTTTTCTTTCCCAGCCCTGGTTGCCAGTCAGGCACGCCACTGGTGGGGAGGGGGCCGGGGGGAGGTCCTGTGGCTGCCCCATCAAAGAGGTTTGCAAATTTACTGTTTTATTGGAGGTTAAAGCTTCCTCAAAACTATGCAAGGAAACCAGGAGCCGCTTCCAAAAGATGCAGTAATTCTAGATGGTTTTGTTCGTGGTTGGACTGTGCTTCCCCGTTAGAATTCCCAGTTTAAACAGTCGACTTGCCATGAAAGTGTATGTCCCCTTAAGACTTCTGTTCTGCACTCCCTACTGGTTCACATGCAGTTAAAATAACAATAGCCACATGTCAGTCTTACGATTTTCAGCAGAAGCCACCGTTTTCAAAACCCAGTGCATGCTAGTGAAGATTATGGCCCACGTATGATTTGGGGGCATGCTGGGTAAACAGTACCGCAGCATGCAGAACTGGAGGGGCCCGGCACAGGGTGCAGACACCGTACATGTGGGGGCGGGTAATTGGGGCTCTCGCACTTGCAGATATATATGGAAACCTGTTTCCCACTTTCTGTGTACCTGCTGCCTTGATCCTGTGAGATTCGCTGGAGCCAATCGTGCAGTGTTGTATCTGCTCCTGTCACGTTCTCTGCTATGATGTGCCACCCCAGGCCCGTCTGTGGAACGCTGCTGCTGCTGGCACACTGAACTCAGACTCAGGCTGGCCAGAGCGAGGTGGTGCAGGCGTGCCTGGGTATCAGCTGATGCAGGGCATATACAGCAGCCTCTCTCGGGGACCAGCTGGGAAGCGGTACGATGTACCAGGCCAAAATGCATGTATTGAATAACTCACTCGTGCAGAAGCACACTGTGTGCACTTCAAGGCAAGCTTGTGTGCACCCATCTTCAAAGGACTCTGCAGAATTTATTTAAGGAAAGCTATTTATTTCCAGCAAAAAAGGGGCAATGCACAACAGAGCCAGTTCCTACTCTGAATTTTACAATATTAACCTCCCAGAAAATTTTGGCTATTGGGCAGTATGCAAGTAAAATAGTTTTTTAAGAATACCAGGCAAGCTTCTCAGACAAGTTCCTTTTACAGCCAGGGGCCACTTAACAATAGGCCCTCGTCTTCGTAGCCTCCCAGCTTCGGCAGAGGTGCTTCGAGAAAAACCGCTGAGGGCAAAGAAACTAAGGCACCGCACAAAAGGAAAGGGAAGGAGGAGGGAGGAGGAGTAAAAACGCATCCCGGGCCTCAGGTCCTAGTTCCGAGGCCCTCGGAGACTTTTGCTCGGCAGGAACTGGGGCCTGCAATCTGCGCAAAGGGCGACGCGGCCTTGCTGGCGGCGGAGACAGCATCCGCTGCCCGTCCGGGCCACGATTCAACCGGCCGCTCGGCCCCGCCAATAGCCGGCGCAGAAGATTGGACGTCCTCTACCGGCGGCCAAGAGGCCCGGACCAATCATATTCCCGCCGGGCAGAGCCTAGTCATGCTCACACGGGCCAGCGAGTCGTCACAAAGCAGCCAATCGCCGCTCTTCGAGGGTCGCTAAGGCCAATCGCCTGGCACTCCTTCGTAGAGGCTTGAAGCCAACCCCGCTCCCGTCCACCATGGGGACGCTCTAGCCCGCCCACCCGCCTCCGTTTCTGAGGGAGGAAGTCCCTTCTCTCTATGGTGAGGCGCCTGTCTCGGCCCCGCCCCCTCGCGGAGTGGCTTCGCTCGAGGGTAATTCCGCCTGCCTGCGCATGAGCAGAACCGAAGCAAGCGGCACGCGCCGAGTTTCCCCGCCTCCTCCCACGCACGGCTGACGTCCTCGCTGGCTCCGCCCCTGCTCTTTTCCCGCTAGTTGGTGGTTTGCGACGACCGCGTTTGACGGCTGCTGGGATCCCCCCTTTGCTGCCCCCACCGCCTTCTCTCTGGTTGTCAGGGCGGCGTGCTTTACGGCCCGGTGGCGATGGCGGAGGGAGAACGGGCGGAGGGCGGCGGCGGCGGCGGCGGCGGGAACTCCGGGCGGCCGCCTCAGGAGGGCAAGCCGGGGACGCTGGAGAGAGCCGAGGCCTTCAAGACGCAGGCGAATGACTACTTTAAAGGTGGGTGCCTGCCAGGGAGGGCAGAGGGAGGGAGGAGGGGGCGGGGCACGGCGCCCTCGGGGAGGGGCGGGGCTTGCCCGGGGAGGGGCCGGGCTCCCGGGGGGAGGGGCCAGCGGTGGGCGGGGCCTGCGAGCGCGGGCAGGTGCGGGGGGTGAGGAGGGGGCTCGGCGAGCAGCGCTGACCTTCCTGCCGGCGGGCCTGGGAATGGGCCCGGGGGGTCGCTCTGGGCTGGGGTGCTGCGCCTCCCTCAGGGGCTTCTTCGGGGGGTGCAGAGGGCGTGCGCACGTGGGTCATGGGGTTATTCCGGGGACGTGGTGGTCGGGGGGCGGATGGGGAGAGGGGTGGCCTTCCCAGGAGGAGGAGGAGGAGAGGCGAGGAGGGCTGGGCAGGCCACTGGTCAGAGCCCCGCTTCTGCCCTGGGTATTGGCTTGGCAGCGCTCGGGGTCCCTTGGCCGGCTGGGCGAAGTGCTTGCGCTCCTGCTGGAGGTCGCTGGCCGAGTCGCTCTCCTGCGTGAGGTTGGTGCCCGCTTCTGGCCCGCTGCCTGTCGTCCCGTGACCCCGCCGTGCTAGCGCAGCAGATTCTCGGGGCATCCACTAGCACGACCTCTTCCGGGGAAGGCATTGTGGTCCATTCAAAAGATCCTAATCCCTGGAGGTGCTGATTTGCAGCGCTCTGGGGCCACTGCGGGTCAGATGCGCGGCATCTCCTTGGAGCTGGTGACCTCGTGGATGGCTTTTCTGGTCAGGATTCATTTTTGGTATCATTCTGGGAGGACCGAACCCACCTGGGAATGCCCTCACACGAGCCATCAGTTTGCATTTCTAAGAAGAATAAGGAAAGATTGCTCCCTTGGATGACAAGGTCTGTTAGTAAGCTTCTCTGGCCTATTGGACTCTCAGCTGGCTTTGTCAGCTTCCAGAATGCGACTCTCCGGCAATGTTGATTCATACCCCAAAGCAAGATGCTTTCACTGCCTCCTAGGTTGTGTTTTATTTTGGCTTCCATGGGCACATGTAAGTGAGAAAGGCAAACTCCATATACAAAAATATGTACATGTTTGCTCATTCTCTAGTGTAACTGCTTCAGTTTCTACTTTGTCATATAATCTGTGGGAATTCATTCCAGGTTTATATGAATAACTGTTGCAGTGCTTGTGCTTTTTGCTTCTGTCCTCTGTGGCGGTACATATATTGTGTAATTTGGGGAGAGTGGCAGTTTGCTTAGATACTCAGTCAAGCTTAAACACTATGCTTAAGATACTTACTACATATTAGAAGCTCTGTTTTATGTGCAGACACCCCTTAAACGTATAATACAGCACTCCCAGTTTGCTACTGTTCTGTTGCTTTGATTGTAGGTGTAGAGAGATGGCTAAAGGAGCATCATGTGGACCTGGGGCATTGCCTGCAGGGCTGCAGGGTGGCTCAGACTGCTTCCTCCAAGGTTGGGGACGGCGCTCCAGCCAACTGGGAAGCAGGAGTTGGAAGCCTGAACCCTCGCAGCTGCTGTGGAAAGACCCCTGGCGGCTGAGCTCTGGCTGGGGCAGTGGGCAGGGAAGGGAGGAGAGTGGAGAGCCCGGGATGCGAGCCAACCTGCAAGCTCTCCAACCGCTTCTCGTCTTCCTCTGAGCCCCGGTCACTAGATGGGCTGAAAAGTCTGCCCAGGGACAAGGGCAGGGCAGGGAGGTGAAGATTCCTCCCAGGTGTGTGTCGGATGCTTGGGCACCGAGCTGGGAGGGCCCCTCCCGCAAGGGTGCCGCCGCTGGGTTGCCCCTTGGAGGCACTGAGGGCTGCCTGCTATTTGTTTGGGCCGCAGGCACTCGCACCTGTTGTGCACCCTTCTCCCACGCGCACCATGTGGGCTCTCTCCAAAACCCTCAGGAGCTGCCACCGGTCCTGAGTGCCGCAGCCGGACTGCTGACCGGAGCTGGTTGCAAGGGAGCGCGTGACTCCCTTTTGCCTGGGCAGCTTCAGTGTTTCCCAGAGTGTTTCTTGGCAGGATCTGAGGTATTGATCGCAGCCTGTGCAGCTTGGGGTGAGGCTGTCTGAGAGATCAGCTGCTCCCACAGGAGCCTGCCGGGCCCTCAAGGTCTTTGGGAGAATTCCTCCATCAAGGCTTCACTTCCAGAGGCATCTTTGGTGGCCAGCTGAGGCATGGCCTTTTTGGTGGCTGCTCCCATGCTGTGGGGCTGTCTCTGAGAGGTGAGGTTTGCTCCCTCTCTGCTTTGCTTCCGTCAGCAGGAACTTTCTTTAGGAAAACCTTTAGCCTATAAGTGGATTTGGGAGGGTGGCTGCTCTTTTTAATAATTTTTCAGTAATGATATTTTTATTGTACTTGAATGCATCCTTTCATTGTTGTAATCAATTCTGACAGTGCCCGAAAGCTGCCTTGAATGCCATATTTTGGTGGAAAAGGTGGGGTACAGAGAGAAGTAATCAGTGCCGTGTGATGGTCACATGATGCGGAATATGCGCTCGAAAAGAGGCAAGAGCAAGGCAGAATTTAGGGCATTTAAATTACAAATACACGGACTGCAGCCTTTCGCCCTGGTGCCCTCTAATGTGTCAAGCTGCAGCTCCAGTCTTCCCCAGCCAGCATGGAAGGCGCCAGGTTGGGGAAGGCCGACCTCCTAACTGGTTTGTCTGCGCGATACTGGAGAGGGAGCACTTCTTTCTATCCCAGCTAACTCTGACCGACCCCCAGGACCTCCCCTGCTCAGATGGCTGGACGGGCCACAAGTCTGCCCCCAACTCCCCCCTCCCCAATCGCACGGGCTTCTCCCTGGCCATCACTCTGAAGTGACCTTGGGTTTCGCTCGGGCAGAACGGAACGGCACCCTCCGAGGAAGAGGAAGACGGGGGGCGACTGCCTCTTGAAGCAAGACGGGGCAGCTTTGCCCCTTGGCCGGGGAGCCCTCCCGCTGCTGGTCACAGGAGCAGAGCAGAGCGGGCGAGAACGTGGGGGCGGCCCGGCCCAATTTCTTTGCCGCCCTGCTCTCTCCCTGTGCGTTGCGCTCCCATGCGGGAGAGCCGGGGACGCGTTGCCGCCTGGCCTGTGCCTGTGTGAGCGCCGCCCCTTCCGCGGACCCCCCCCCCCAGCTCTGCCGCCGAAGGGGAGCCCCCGTGCTCAGGCCGGCGCCGCCCTGCAGGTGAACGTTCCCTTCACGGCTCGCCTTTCCTCCCCTCTCCCCTCCCAGCGAAGGACTATGAGAACGCCATCAAGTTTTACACCCAGGCCATCGAGCTGAGCCCCACCAGCGCCATCTACTATGGCAACCGGAGCCTGGCCTACCTGCGGACCGAGTGCTATGGCTACGCCCTGGCCGACGCCACCAAGTCCATCGAGCTGGACAAAAAGTACATCAAAGGCTACTACAGGCGGGCGACCAGCAACATGGCCCTGGGCAAGTTCAAGGCGGCTTTGCGGGACTACGAGACAGTAAGTGGAGGGGGGGTGGGGGGGGTTCCCGCACTCGCGCCAGGCCTCTGGGTCGCCGCGGCCGGAGGGGAACCCGTTGGCTTTGGTGGAGTCTCAGTGCTGAGCCAGGGCCAGCGGGGAACGACGTGTTCGGATTTTGCCCGGGTTTAGCAAGACGCGTGTGGGCGTCACGAAGCCTCTTGCTCCCAGCTTTGCACGGGACTCGTGGCAGAAGCCTGGCCATCTCTCATGTACACGAGGGAGCCCTTCCCAGTCAGGTGCTTTGGACTGCAGCTCTTGGCTGTGTGGGTTGAGAGCTGAACCCCAAACACCTGGTGGGCACCCCCTCGGGAAAAGCTAGGCTAGAGCCGGGCGAATGGGGCTCTGTATCGCTGGTTGAGCGGGATTCCGCGAGTACGGGAACAGACCCCCCAGTTCGAGTGCTGCAGCTCTGAGGGTCAGTCTTTATTGTGCCTGGGAGAGCACGCATGAGAAAGTAGGCTTGGCGTACAAATGTCCAGCGACGGATTCCCGAGGGCCGCCACGCGCAGAATGGATGGCGCTCCTCCTTTGCCTCCCCTGCCCAGGTTGTGAAGGTCAAGCCAAACGATAAGGACGCCAAGATGAAGTACCAGGAGTGCAACAAGATCGTGAAGCAGAAGGCCTTTGAGCGGGCCATCGCCAGCGACGAGCACAAGCGGTCTGTGGTCGACTCCCTGGACATCGAGAGCATGAGTGAGTGGGGGCGGTGGGAGGGGACCGTCCGAGGGAGTCCTGGGGGCGCTGGCTGCGGAGCGGCAAGAGGCAGCGCATCCCACGGCGACAAAGCCCTGGAGGCAGCTGCGGGTCGTCTTTTGCCCTGCCTGTGACAGCGCTGGAGGGACTGAATCGCCCCTCTGTGGCTAAGGCGGTCGGCGCATGCGGTTCCGAATCGAGGGCCCCGTTGGCCAGCCTCTCCCACTGATTCCCCGATCCAGGGTGTGGCTCCCAAACCGACCCTGCTCATCTCTGGGTTCTGCTCGGGGTGTTGGGGCTGGGCTAGCAGTGAATACTCGGCTGCCGGACTCATGAGCAGCAGCTCTCTCACCCTCCCTGCCCAGAGGACCCCTTCAGGGTTGGCCTGCCCTTGAGGGATCCCTGCGTATTGGCCACAGAGCTCCCACTCAGGGCAGAGTCTGGGATGTGCTCCAAGGTGGCTGGAATCTGCTGCACGGCTGAAGGGGCACTCTAGCAAAGGCCCGCTCCCTTTCTCTCCTCCCACTCGCCTTGTGCAAGAAGAAGGGGCAGCTTTTCCTGGGGAGCCCCAGGCTTCTCTGTAACGCTGTCTGAGCACAGACCACGCGCCGGGTAAACAAGGGGTAACTGCCAGGCAGGAGTTGGACTAACGGCCACAGAGAACAGTATGAGGCATGCTGTAAATCAAGACACAGAGACGGTGCTCAGCTGTCGGATTTAACTCTCCTCCGGTGCAGGCAGCTGCCCTCAGCCCCTTTGTGGTTTCGCACCCCTCTTGCGTGGCTCAGAAGCCGGGCTGAGGCCGGGCTGGAAGCGGCTGCTGGTGGGAAGTGCCGAGCCACCGGCCTCGCACAGCACCCTCCTTTCCGAGGGAGCCCAGCCGTGCTCACGCTGGTGACTAATGCCATTTCGCTCGGTGGCTGCACCAGGGTTTCCTGCCAGGGCCCAAAATAGATCAAAATCTCGGATCATAAATAGGTCTCAGTGTGGAGAGACTTAGCGGGTAAAAATAAACGGGCCGCCGTTCGCATCGGGCCAGCTGCCGGCACGGGCAGAACCCCTTGATCCCGCCGTCTGGGCCGCATGGTGTCACGGCCGCATCCTGAGATGCTGAGACGCAAGCGGCATCTCCCTCCCCCACGTGTTCAGGGACGGGCAGGGAGGAGGGTTCGGGGGAGGGGGCTGCCACGCAGGAAAGGTCTCCTTGCGAGCCAGCAGGACTTTGCAGGAGTGGCGCTTCTCGTGCCTCTGCAGATCTGCCTGCCCCCAGCAAACACTGAGAAAAGGGTGCTGGGCCACCGAGGGGATCGTCAGTCTCTGCCCCACAGAACTGGGATCGCTGGGCAGCTTCTCGTGCCCCCCTGAGTGGGCAGATGAGTACAGCGGGACCGTGTCCCTGGGAGGCAGCGGGCTTGCCCCGGCTGATTTCCTCTGTGGTGCCTGGGGGTGCGTTCTACGTCTGTCCTGCCCCAGCAGGGCTGCCTGGGGGTGCCTGAGGGGGTGCCCCAGGAAATGCAGCAGTTCATCAGCCGAGGGGGGTGGGGAGGCAGTTTCCAAGCGTTGTGGCTCGCTGGGAAGGGACCTCATGTCGGAACAGAAGGGAGGCAGAGTTCCTCGAGAGGAGGGCGGCAGGTGTGCTGCCCCACTCTGCTGACATCGCTAGCAGAGAGCCTGAAGGCGCCCGGGGCCCTCTGGTCTGTGGACGTCCACTAAAGACCACGCCAAGGGCAGGAAGCGGAAGCGCGCCACCGGGGCTTCCCAGCAGGAGGCGCTGGAGGGAGGCCGCTGGGTGTGTGCGGAGCCGGCGGGCGGGCGGGCGGGCGAGGGAGGCCCCTTGGCCCCGGCCTTTTCCGCCCAGCCCGGCCTCTCTGCCCCTTCTGCTTCCCCAGCCATCGAGGACGAGTACAGCGGCCCGAAGCTGGAGAACGGGAAGGTGACGCCAGATTTCATGAAGGAGCTGATGCAGTGGTACAAGGATCAGAAGAAGCTGCACAGGAAATGTGCCTACCAGGTGCCCTTCCCAGCGCCGTTCCGTGGGCCGCCGAAGCGGGGGGTGCCGGGAGGGGGCCTGTGGGCAGCGACACCCGTCTGGGGCAGCTGGAGGTGCTGCCCCAGGCTCAGAGGGCAGCCTTAAGGGCAGCCGCTGCAGCTGCGGGCGCACCCACGGGGCCAACGGGGCTCCCAAGAGGCGTGTGAGCGCTGCGCCACCAGCGTTGCCTTGCGGCCTTTTCTCTGCAGAGGGAAGCAAGCCCTGGCGCCCCTCGCAGCATCTCTGCTCCGACTCGGGCAGCGCAAGGAATGTGCACAAGCGATACTTTGCGTGGTCCGGAACTTTTCTGCTCTCTTTGTGTCTCGAGCAATCCGGGTGGTGGAAGCTCCGGGTCACGGCAGGAAAATCGCGGGGTGGGAGAGCCCATGATCCCCGGGGTGTCCCAGGTGCCATGCGTCATGCCCTTCGCCACCTCTCCCTCGCACTTGCAAAGGAGTAGTTTGCCAGCCTGCGGCGGCAGAACCAAGCAAGAGTCCTGCAGCACTTAAAGGCTGGCAGATTTTTTGTGGCGGGCACCGGAGGGCTGACGTCCACCCCATCAAAGCCTTTAGGGCACTGCAGGACTGAGAAAAATCATCTGCCCTCAGAAAGAGGTTGTTTTACAGCAGATTACAGTAACATTATTAAATTGGAGATTTATAGCACGTTTTCCGGAACCAAAGCCGACCTGAGCAGTGTCCCTTGCAGTGCCTGTTGAATCCTCCTGCCCTCCCGCCCTCCCTGTTTTCTCACTGACTTCTCTCTTGCAGATTCTGGTGCAAGTGAAAGAGGTGCTATCGAAACTCCCCACCCTAGTAGAAACCACATTAAAAGAGGTGCGTGTCTCTCCTTACGCCAAATTTTTCAAATGGGAAGGTCCAGCAGTCGTTCCAGCTTTCCCCAGATGGGCAGCTTTGGAGCATCGAGACCTTCCAGTTGCCTTCCGAGGTGCCGCATGCTCGCCCCTTGATTTCCACCTCAAGAAACATAAACGCTTACTGATTTGGAAACACACTCCTAGTAGCCTGGTTTCTCCTGGCCCCAGTTGCTGTTTCCAGCAGCCATAACAAATTATTTATCTGCACGATCGGCCTGAAGCATCCGTCCCAGCCTGTTGGATTCAAACTCCCAGGATCCCCCAGCCGGAGGACTGCTCTGACCAATATGTCCTGGCCAGCCTTGGGCTCTGGAGGTTCAGGCATTCTGCAAGGGGGGCCAGGGGTGCTCCACGTGCCCGGGCTGCTCTGTGGGACCTTCCCCAGAAAGGAAAGGTGCACAAGCCACGCCGGCTGTGGTCTGGCTAGGTGGCATGAAGACGCGTCAGAGCTGTAGCCCGTTCCCCGCCTCTGGGAACCCTGCTCCCTGCTCGCCCCATGAGAGCAGTGGTGGGCAGCTGGTATCCCTCAGGATGTCCCGCCCGCAGCTCTCCGCAGCCCCAGCCAGCTGGCCAGCGGTGAGGGCTAAAGGGCCAGGACTGCCAGGCCAAAATGTCCAGAAGGCCGCAAGCCGATCGGCCTTCCCTAAAGCGTTCTTTGCTACTTACCAATATGTTCTTGTAACCGATGAAAAATGCAAAATGTGGTTCTTGCTCACCTCCCGTCTTGAGGAACAAGTTCTTCTGATTGGGCGAGAAATATCATGCGTGGATACTTATCGATAAGCATATTTGGAATAATTTTACACCTCTTCCTCTGTGTTTGTTCCTGCTTTCTCCTCCTGCTTCTTCATTCCAGACAGAGAAAATTACTGTCTGTGGAGACACGCACGGGCAGTATTACGACCTCCTCAATATATTTGAATTGAACGGGCTGCCATCGGAAACAAATCCATATGTATCCTTTCCTGGTCCTGCTTCCTGGGTTGCTGTAACCTCAGTCAATCCATTTCCACCCAGATCAACCTCAATGAATCCATCTTGGTGATTGTGAAAAGCAGGAAGAGCAGTTTTTAGAAAACCTGAGGCTCCTTGGGATTTCTGGAAGGCAACTAGATTCGCGCTTTTTGTAGACCCACTGTAGGCCGGGCTCTTCTGGAATAGCATCTGGCTGGTCCCCCCCCCCCCCGCCCCCCTTTTGCTCTGCGGGCAGGGGCCTCTCGTTCTCCACGTAGCAACATTGGTCCACTTTGCCAGTCACACCAGTTTCTGAGTTCTCAGCCTGGGAATATCATCTCCCTTATCCTTGTTGTTTCCAGTTTCACTCAGCTGTTTAAAAAAAGCTACCCAGGATGCCCCCTGGTTGGCTTGTGGTGCTGTCAGACCCCGGAAGCCTGGGCTGATTAGGAGCTAAGCAGCTCAGCGCCTGCCCAGTTATAATAGCCCAGGAAAGGGCTGACCGAAGGCAAGACACGGGCAATGGTATTGTCGATGTTCTCCGGAGCAGCCAGCCTGGTTCTTTCCACCCTGCCTTTTGGTTTTTGGGAATCTTGGGCGAGGTAGTCCATAACTCGAGTGAGGTGTTGCATGTCCTGAGGAGGAAGAGGTGCAGGGCCAGAGAGAGGGAGCTGTGTGAACAGAAACGTGTGGGGGGGGGGGGCACGAAAGGGCTGGCATTTCCCAATGGGACAAGTGTTTTCTTCCTGAGCAGAGTCGCTTCCCCGCTGCAGATATTCAACGGCGATTTTGTTGATCGCGGCTCCTTCTCCGTGGAGGTGATATTAACGCTCTTTGGTTTTAAGCTGCTGTATCCAGATCATTTCCACCTCCTCCGAGGTAAGGACTCTGACCTGCGCAGAGCAGGCAGAGAAGGGACAGGGCCGCACCGTGTCTGAGTGACCGTCTGTCCGTCCTCCTGTTTGTTCCTTGGGCCGGGAGGGAGCGGCCGGAGCAGACCAAAGCCCAGTGACCCGTTTGGCTCTTTGCTTGTCCCACTGCCTCCTGTCTGTCCCGCAGGGAACCACGAAACAGATAACATGAACCAGATCTACGGGTTTGAAGGAGAGGTCAAAGCCAAATACACCGCCCAGATGTTCGAGCTTTTCAGCGAAGTCTTTGAGTGGCTGCCCCTGGCGCAGTGCATCAACGGCAAAGTCTTGGTGAGGAGGCAGCCACTCCGGCCCCCTGGCGGGGAGGATGCCCACCCCCGGGGACTCCCTGGGCACGGTGTCCATCCCCTCACTGAGCCTGGCTATTGTCTCCCCCCCCCCCCGGCCCTCCCACCTCAGATAATGCACGGTGGGCTCTTCAGTGAAGACGGCGTCACACTAGATGATATCAGGAAGATTGAGCGGAACCGGCAGCCCCCCGACTCAGGTGAGCGTGTGGGGTCGGCGGGGATCACGGACCGAACGAGCTCGAGGAGGAAAAGGCAGCTCTAACGCAACGCCGGCGGTGCTGCCCTTCCAGGATCTGCGGTGGGCCGGATGCAGCCCTTGCAGAATGCAGGCACACCGGAACGGTTGCTTTGTGGAATGGCGATTTTTTTAAAGCGGGAGATGTCGTCTGTTGCTGCTGAGCACCAGGAGGATCGTGCTCACCGGCCCATGAGTTGACTGTGTCTCTCTTGGCACCGCGCGGCCAAATGCGATGGCATTTTGTCCCCCAAACTTACGTCTCGATTTATTGCTCGGGTCTCCCCGCGGGGAGGACCTTCCGAAGCGGCCCATCGCTGTCTTAGAGGATGCACCTGTACGCCGAGTCCCAGCACACCCCGTCCCCCCTTTCCTTTCCCATCTATGATTTTTAGAGGTTCCTGTAATTTTTTTTAAATGGCTCCTGATTTCTTGGAGGCACCGTTTTGTTCGTCCCACCTGTCTGGCCAGTTCAGCCGTCTAATCCTTGCAGGCCTGGTTCTCTCCCTGCCCCCCACCCAGCCACCACCCCTGCCCCTGCCTGGCCTGAGCAGGCGGCAGCCTGGCAGGTGAAGCTTTCCCGGCATAGAGGAGCAGCTGCGAGGAAGCTGCACCCACCACATGTACGCAGGGCGGGGTGTTCTGGCCCTTGAGAGCGGTGGCCCGTGCAGGCGTGGGACCGGCCAGCCCCGGGCCACGGGCCTCTCTCTCGGCTGGCCTCCTCCCGCTCTTACCTGACCACTCGCCTTCCCGTTGGCAGGGCCCATGTGCGACTTGCTGTGGTCGGATCCGCAACCCCAGGTGAGTCCTCGTTGTGGGCCCTCATGCTCTGCCCACTGGACATTCAGGGCACTGATCCTGCCTGGGCTGGCCAAGACGCCTCCTGCTTTGGGGGGGGCAGTGGGGGAACTCCCCCAGACCGCCAGTCAAGGTTCCTGGGACAGGGAAGGGGATGTGGCCGAGCCGGAAGGATCTAAGCGGGAGGAGGCCCACATTTTGGGTGCTCTTTTTCCCATTCCTGGTCTGGGTCAAGCGGCTTTTGGGAGGGTGCCTGGCTCCCCACTGTCTCAGCCGGAGCCTGATGGGGCTCCCGTGGTTCCGCCAAAGGGCGTGGGGCGGGTGGCCAGAACACCCTTGCAAGGGGTCAGCCCGGTGTCGCTTGCCCGGTTGGAGAAGAAGGACCGCGTGCTCCTCCGAGTGCCTCACCCTCTTTGAACACCCCCCCCGGCACCTTATCCAGAATGGCCGGTCGGTCAGCAAGCGTGGCGTGAGCTGCCAGTTTGGGCCGGACGTCACCCAAAGCTTCCTGGAGCGCAACCAGTTAGAATACATCATCCGGAGCCACGAGGTCAAGCCCGAGGGCTATGAGGTCGCCCACGACGGCAAGTGCGTCACGGTCTTCTCGGCCCCCAACTACTGGTGAGTGCTGCGGGGGCGGGAGGGGCTTCTCGGCCCGGACGGCGCTTTCCTCCGACAGACCAAGGCCGAGAAGAGTGCGCGTGAGCCGGGCCAGACTCCAACCCGGGTCTCCTGGTCCCAGTCTGCCCACGGCGCTGCACTGGGGCTCTCTCTTCTGCCCTCTGTCTCCCGCTCTCCCTCTGCTCCTCCCTTCCTTAGAAATCCTCCACGAACCACCTTCCCTCATTCCCATCTTGACGTTCTCTCCCCAGCGACCAGATGGGCAATAAAGGGTCCTACATCCACCTGCGAGGCTCGGACTTGCGGCCAGAATTCCACCAGTTCACAGCAGTGGTGAGTCCTGGGGCTGCGGGGGCCCCCAGAATGGCGCACCCGGCACTCGCGTGCTCCGCCGTCCCCAGCACACCGTGGCCGGCGCGCCCGGTCCCTCCCCGATCTCTTTCCCGGAACCGTGCGACCCGGGCGAGGGGCTGCCGACTGACTGACGGCGCGTCTTCTGCTTTCCAGCCTCACCCGAACGTCAAGCCAATGATGTACGCCAACTCGCTGCTGCAGCTGGGGATGATGTAGCTGCCCCCGCCTCGGCTGCCCCCCCCCCTCGCCTGCCTGAAGACCCAATGCACTAGGCAAATCAGATCACCGTGGTTTCCTTTATTTCCTTTCATTTGACGATTTCTTCCAACATCCGCCTTTGCGACGAAGCAGGAGCTGTCTTGGGGGCAGGGGGACGGGGGGGGAAGCAGCTCCGCCGAGGTCGCACACGGAATAACGCTCAGACCAGGAGGCAGGTCCTGACCCGGGGCGGCCCCTTTTCTCGCATTTGCTCACTCCACATGCGCACACGCAAGAGGAAGCGGCCGCCAGAGTGTTAGAAGCAGCGGATTTTTTAATATATTGGAAGATTGTATTTATTCCCTCCCTCCTCTGGCTCGCGATCTCGGCTGCTCTTCAGCCTCCCGTGGGATCCACCTCTGCCTTCGCCACGTGGGCCGAGGGGAGGCTGTCCTGCGTGGCCAGCGTGGCACCCCTTAGCCCGGAGGGCCGAGTGTGTCGGTGCCACGGGGCAAGCACCCACGCACGTCCTTTCTCCTGGATCTTGCGTTCGGTTCCGCAGTGGCAAGGGAAGGGTCCAGGCGGCACATTCTGTGCCTCGGCAGCCAGAGGCCGGGGCCGCTCCGGAGCAGGAAGCAAATGTCGGGGAAAGGATCGTGTCCTTTCCCAGTGGCTGCTGCCCACCCATGGCGACTTTCTGAGGTCTGGGCGGGAGGGAGGGGGGGCGCTTGGCCTCATCTGCCTGCCAGTTCTGTTCCCCCCGATCGCCCAGTGTCCACGTGGAGCCCGCTGGCATTCCACTTCACACGCCCGAGGAATCCAGGCAAGGCGGGAGTCTGTCCTGGGTTTCCGCAGCATGTGGGGTGGGAGCCAGCAGGGACGGGGCTGGACGAACCTTCCCCACGGCCGCTGTGGCGTGTGCGAGGTGGGCAGCCTGGCCCGTCCCCTTCCCCGTGGGCTCAGCTCGGCCCACTGCCGCCTGTTCCTCCTCCTCCCCCCTCATACCGTCAGTTCACCAGCAGGAGGCCCAGCTTCTAGGCAGTTGGGGTGGAGGCAGGGCAGGAGGGGAGCGTGGCGTGCCGATCGATCGTGGCTCTGCAGCGTGCCAGCCTCGTCGCTCCGCCTCGTGCATCTCTGTTGTGGGATTTGGTGCTGTGGGTGTTTTGGGAGGGGAAACGTCATCTGGGCATTTTTACAACCGCTCGATCTTCAGGGCCATAGGCTTTGGCCACCTTTTCATGATCCAGAGGAATCAGAGGTTCCAGGGCCATACGTCTCTGGGGATCCTTCAAACCCTCTTCCCTCTGCCCCGGAAGGAACCCTTTTTGCTCAGTTCATGCTCTTGCTCTGGGAAGCCCTGGAACTTCTGACCGCTTTCCGGGGGCCATCCTGCCTTGAAATGTCAGTGGGCTTGTGGGAAGAGAGACCAAGACCCACCCCAACCATTTCAGCTTGGCAGCAGAGATGAGGCAGGAAAGATTCTGGGCTCCTGACTTGCACGTGAGTGATCTTCTGTCTGTCCATCCTTCCTTCCCTCCCTCCTCCCTTGCCCTTTCTAACCTCTTAAATCTCCCCCTTCACCATAAATAAGCCACAGAAAATGTAAGTGAGGAACGAGAACCGAGCTCACAGACCAGCCTTGCCTAAGCCTGTGGAACCAGGAAATGGACCCGGGCAGGGTGCTGCTCTCCGTGTGTCCCCCACCCTCCTGCCCTGGAGGCCTCCCCTTCTTGCTCTCGCTCTCGCTCTGAGAAGGAGTTTCATTTTGGCTTCCCCAAACCGAAACGAGGCTGCTCCCCCTCCCTTTGTGGCCGAAAAGAAGAGAAACCAGCGAATATTCCAGAATCACGTGGGGTGTTGTTTTTTTTCCATGCGGACCATGGAGGGTTTTTATACATCCAGGATTCCCTTTCCACCTGCCCTCCCACCTACTGAGCTATTTTACTGTCTGTAATTAAACAAAAGACGTTAAAATAAAGTAAGTATTGAAAGACCTGCTGGGCTCGGGCACAGCATTCCCCTTTCTCCTTCCCACATGCTTTCCCACCATCACCTCACTCTTTATTTCCACTCTGAGGTTTCACTCAGTCACAGCCTGTCGGGGCACGGACGTGTTTCGCGGAAGCATCTGCCATCCTCTACTCCATGGCGGTGGTGGGGCTTTCTAGAGATGAGGAGAGAGGATTCAGCCACACTGTCGCCCCCGGCAGACGACTGAAGAACCAGCTGCTCTGTGCTGGATCCCTGGATTCTGGGGTTCCCCTAAACTGAGGCCTCCCCATTGCAGGAGCGAAACTCCAACGAGAGAAGGGGCTGGTTGGGAGCAGGCTTGGCAAGAGAGATCAAAGGGGGACACAGGGAGAAAATGGCTTGAGTTGCCAGCTTTTGCCTTGGTGCACTTTTGGGGGGCTCATGCTCCAGAAACCAGGCGGTTGATGCTGACTTTCACCGCTCATGCAGAAGCCAGGCCGCACCTGAGCTGCGCTTGCTGTCTGTTTATTTTAGATTTGGTTTAGGCCAGCTTTAAAAATAGAACCCTCTCAGGGCCACATACAAGATAAAATGCAAAGATATGCCAAAACAGAGAGAAAAACAACAGATAAATGCTCACTACAAAAAGTCTGCTTCCCTCAGTGAGAAGGGTCACAGCCGGCCGTGCGCTTCCCCAGAGGATGGCTCTGCTTCTGCAGGGCAAGGAAGCGCAGTGCAGCTGGCTTTGTCTGGAGCCGGAGGAAGAAACCCCTTTCCCAGCCAGCAGACCAAATGCTCTTTTGGAGAAGTTCCTGGGCTGCGTTCCGGCTGCAAGTGATCGGAAGCGCTTTCTCTTCCCAAGTCCCGAGAAAGGGGGCCTTTGCCAACAGGTTTCACGAGACCCCAGGCTGGAGGTTCTCCAGACTGGCCCTAGGACATAACTCACGCAGGACGATGGGGCCCAGCAAGTATTGGGCCACTCTACCCAGAAGCCTCTGCTGCCACATGGGTTCCGGGCCAGGCAAGCTGGGGAGTTGCTGGTCAACCAGTTAATATTGAAAGCATTCCTTTGGGTGGAAGGAAGCCAGCTTGGAACGGGTTGAAGGGAAGATGGCGGGGGGGGGGGGGATAAAAGGACAGTCCCTTTCTTGCCTGCCTCAAAGGAGGCCACCAGTGGGGAGGAAGGGTGTTTCAAGAGGAGGAGGAGGACCCGGGTCAAGTGTGAGAAGGGGCCAGCCAGTGGCTGGAGGTTGGGACAGCCTGCCTAGGAAGATGCAGGGATGCCCTTTCTGGAGAAAACCCCTCACACAGGGCTCAAATAAGGAGCTTCAGGATCTTTCCACTCGAGTGAGGCGGGTGCGGAGGTTCCCCCTGCCCTGATTCGGTCCTTGAAGCAGGGAGGCCCAGGTGCTCGGATGCCTGGATTGTGGTCCGGGGCTGCGTAGACCAGGCGGGGTTCTGCTGGCACACACGTATGGATAGCAGGGTGCCAACCGGACCCTGCTCCTCTTTCTCTGCCTGAAGGTCCAGCCCCACTGGAACCTTCTGAGTGCTACCCGGCACTCCTGTCTGGCACCGGGCGCGAGCGATTCTGAACCCGGGCAAAGCTTTCACAGGAAGCCTGCCCATGCTGTTTGCTGAGGGGAAGGCCGGACAGCCCGCTGGGGAGCTGGGTTCATCGCCGCCTGGGGTGGGGAGGCTTGAGAAAGCGCTGACCCTTTGGCTGCGGCCAGTGCCGGCTTTGCTTTTCCCAGCCTCGGCGCTGATTCACTGCTGCCTGCCCCGTCCTCGGGGAGGACAAAGGCGGCTTTGTGAGCGTGGGCCAGGCCAGAGCAGAGACGTCAAGGGGGCAGCTTCTGTTCATGCCTTAAACAAACCCCAACGGGCTCTGCTGGAGGGGGGTGGGGGGAGGTGAGTGGCGTTGGGGCAAGGGGCTTCTCTTCTCAGCTGGGGGGAGCGGCTCCCCCCCTTCAGGATAAGAGAATGCAGTTCTCCTGAACCAGGTGAAATCGCTGAAGGATGCAAAGCCAGGAGACTGTGATGAGCACACATTTCCGACGGAGTCATTTTAACCTCGCCACAGCTTCCTGCCACAAGGAAAAGGCCCTCTGCATGCCCGGATACAATTTCCCCGTAAACCTCTAGGATACTTCAAACGCGGTTTTCCTTGGAGGAGGGAACCCTGCATTCGCTTTGGCCCTTGGCTTTCCTTTCAGTGCTCTCGGGAGATGCTGTCTCCCCAGGAGAAAGGCACCGTGCCTGGCCATTTGCTACCTGTGAGAATCCATGGGCTGCAGAAGCTGGTGACTCCACAGGTGACCCTGCATGCAGCTCACCTGCATCTTGTGTCCTCGGGGAGGGGGCCAACACCAACAGGGCACTGATCTCCATTCTCACGACTCGTCTTCACAGCCCACCTCTGACGGGCAGTGCTGGCCGCCTGTATCAAGCAAGGCTTTGCTTGGTAAATGAGCGCTCGAGACACAAAGATGCCCCAAGATTCTCTGTCACTTTTATATTCAAAATCTCGACACAGTGGAGCAATGACGTCAGTGTCAGTGTAAAAAATAATCTGAAGTTTTGCACAACAAGGGATTCCTTTATTGGTGGTGACCAGCAAGGGGAAGCTGTAGGTTTATGCTATCGCTGGCTTAAAAGTTGCATTACTTGTGTAGGAAGTTTACTTGCAGGTGATGCGATGTTGCCAGCAGTCTGGGCTGGTTGTCATGAATTTTTTCTAGGGAACAGTGGGAATTGTGTCCAAGTTCTGAGTTGCAAAGAGATCTTCTGCAGGAGAGATCAGGAGAGGCAGGTCTTGGTTTGAAACCCAAGAAATGAAGCTGCGCAAAGCAGATTAAAAAGGAAACCTCCAACCGGACCAAATTACGTGTCAAGCAGAAATGTGCAGGCTTTGGTATTTCAAAGAACGGATCATCACTCAAAATTTAAAACTCACTTCTCTCTTCCTTTGGTGTCTCCCAAAACTTAGACTGCAAACTCTCTTGTCTGCAATGCTTGTTAAGAGCCAAGATTCCTGATAGCAACATATACAGAAGAAAAGGAATCTCTCTCTTTCTCCCTCCCTGTATTAACAGATAGAAATCTAGATCAGTCAGGTCTGGCAAAAATTTATTGTTTAATGAATTGGGTTTTTTAAAGGCTTCCTCATCACTGTGGGTAGATAAAATCAATAATTAAACTTGCAGCCAAAGTAAGATCAAATAAAGAGTAGGCACTCTGTGTGCTTAATGACTTAATATGCAGGTGCCCATTTTGACAGTTCCAAATGAGTTACAGGAATTGATATTTCCTCCGTGTTTGTGTTGCTGCAGCAATGCTGCATTCATCCAGCTCTCCGTAGAATGCATTTATTTCTGGACAAAGCTGGACAAAGTTTTAGCAAAGTCTTTGAACTGGCCAAGCCATCCAACAAAAGTAGTTTAACTAACTTTTGCCAAGTTCACTATGAAGTTTATTTAATTAGTTGAAGCTTTAGCTGATCAACCTGGGAGCAGAATTTCCATTTTAATAAGGAATGCCAAGTTTGCAACCAGTCCCAGTTAGTTGTTCCTGGTTTTAGGGAAATCACTGAAGGAAGTTTGCCTTGATGGAGACATAAGTGCATTTGTTTATCAGTGCTTGCAACTCCAGGTTCCTGCTGCTAAGAACAGCAGAACAGGGGCGACTTACAAAGCTGTCAATACCAGTGCATTTTTGGTGGTGGTGGTGGTGGGGTGATCTGCTTATTATCACGATTGCATTTTATATCCCACTTTTAACCCTCTTGTGAGGACCCCAAGGTGGTGCCCACTCAAATGTTTCCACTGGGAGGACCCTGCTGGCAGCACCCAGCCACGCCACCCGGGGGGCGATGGAGGGCGCGTCTGGTGCCTTGGAGGGCGCCCGCTTGCAGGAGGCGTGATTAGAGGCATGCCCGCTCTGCAGGGCCTGCTGCCCGGGTTCTCCGGGGGGGCGGGGGGGCGCGGTGTGGCTCTGGGGGCTGCCGGACGAGCGCTCGCCCTCCCCGATTCATCACTGCACCCTGGGCAGCCGGCAGCCGGCCTGCTCCCATCACCGGGGGCCCATCAGCATGAGTCGGGTGGCCAAGCGCGGCGTGCGCAGCCCGGGGGTCTTCGGCTTGAAGGAGGTGACAGGCCTAATGAAAGATGCTTGCCGAAGGCTGGCTCAGTGTCGTGCGGGGCATGAGGGCCGCCCTCCCCAGCTCTCCTGCCCATCCTTTCCCCTCCCCTCCTCTCCCCTCCCCTCCCTCCGGGACTCCTCTTCCTCCCCGGAGATGGCCTTCCTTCTCCCCATGTGCCCGGCTCTGCCCGGCGCCCTGTCCAGTTCAGACCCTCTTCCTCAAACACGGGCTCTCTCCACGCTGCCGTCTCGTTCTGCGCCCTCCTCCTCGCCCGGGTACCCCTTGCTCGCTTCCCAGGCAGGCAAATGGCCGGGGGGCGTGTGTGTCTTGCTCCTCCGCCCATCCGCCCCCAGAACTTTGGGCCTGGGTCTCAGCCCTGCCGGTCCGCAGGAGAGTCGCCGGTGCAGAAGCGGGCTCCGTTTTCTTCCCACAGCCACGGTGGTGCTGCGATTTCAGCGAGTCCGAAGCACCAGACCCCACGCGGCCAGAGGTGTTTGGCCTGCTTGCATTGGTGCTGCAAACACTCTGGCTGCCTCGTATGTGCAGAATGAAGAAGTGGGTTGCGGGCAGGAAGGGTGGCCTTTGTCACCCCCAGGGTGTCGGCAGATGCCCCATGTCTGCTCGTCGCAGGAAAGGGCCGAGGGATCATCCCACGGCGAGGTGCGGGCGAGGAAGTCGCTTTCCACTGGAAACTGAAACCCTGTGGACCCATCTTGGCCTGAGCGCTTTAATTCCCCACTCAGATCTTTACTGCCTGTGGCCCGGCTGTCCCACGTGCTTGGCAGCTGAAGCCACACGCAGGGCCGGGCGTCCGGCGGTGGACCACGGAAGGGCTGTGAGCGCCAGGGTCCAAGTGGCCCCGTGGCGCTGCGGCTGCTGCACT